GACAGACAGACAGACAGACAGACAGACAGACAGACAAACAGACAGACAGACAGACAGACAGACTCACCGATGGGATGTTGCCCAGCACAGGGCTGGAGGTAGAGGACGGGGTGAGAGAGTAGGGGGCGGGGCTCCGGAGGTAGGAGGGCATTGCACAGTTCTGATTGGGCGACAGGTTGCTCACACCACTCATCCACATGCCGTACTGGGTCTGGGGGGCGTGGCCTGAGGTGAGCATGCTGTGAGCCCCGCCCATCGACATGTTGGCCCAGTTCTCAGACGCAAGGTTCAGCATCGGCAGGTTGGACGACACATCGCGCTGGAAGTTGCCTGCTGGACGACAGAACAGACAGATTCGATCATTCTGTCATTGTCATGGGAAAAATCATTTGTTGAACGACCCTCGCGATATTATATCAGTCACAAGAACACAAAAACAAAAACCAAGTTTTTTATAAAGTTTTAGTAACAGTTTTACGGCACTTGCAAGACAATAAGGTAATATAAGTGCCGAAGATTAGAGGTGTTACAAGAGAGTAATAAACACTAAGAAGGAGGGGAGATAAAGACGATAAGTGTTCAGAACGAAGAAACAACTTTTTTCCGAGCTCAGAATCTGAGAGACACCAAACGTTTACCCACCCGTGTCGGACAAGTCCAGAGCCTACTGCGCCACACATGGGGACTCAAGCCTGTGTCTGTCCTGTGCCGAGTGTGACCCGGAGGGGGAGGGGGGGCATCTATTGTAATTCCTCTCACGTCCAGCATACTCCGGACGCTCTCTGAGAGGATGGTCGCCTTAGTTTGTATAATCTACTCTCCCTTCCTCTCCCCTCCCTTCCTCTCCCCTCCCTCCTTCTCCTCCCTCATTTTTCCACCCCTGACCTGTACAAAAAGTTTTGTTTAATCAGAGTGTCGAGTTCGTGGATGAATTTTGTTATTTTGTAGATTACTGGGGGGACATCTATTATGTTCTCTCTCTCTCTCTCTCTCTCTCTCTCTCTCTCTCTCTCTCTCTCTCTCTCTCTCTCTCTCTCTCTCTCTCTCCAGTACATCCTTGAGTAAAGACAATCCCACAGAAACCCTCACACACATTGATGAATTCACAGTCATAAATTCTTACAGAACAGAACAGCATGAATAAACGATACTGAGATAACATAATAGATACTCAGAGAACATGATAATACATGTATTTGTATTGGGAATGTCGGAAATTACAGATTAAATCTGGACTGAAACAAATGCATTTTAAGTGCTGATTTAAATTTTGATAACGCGGTGGACTCCCGTAGATGAGCTGGTAAAGCAGGGTAAAGGGGGGAGGGGGGCGTGGTGTGAAAAGCTCTCACTCCGAGTCTCTGACTTTTGCTTTGGACAGGTCTTAAAAGTCTTTTCGTCGCCGATCTTAAAGGCCGAGATGGTATGTATTCGATGATCATGTCACAAAGATATGATGGTGCAATGTTGTTTGACGCATTTTAAACAAAGAACAATTTTTTGGTACTGAATTCGTGCTTTCACCGGGAGCCAATGTAGTTGAATTAGCATTGGTGTTATACGCTCTTTGAGAGATTTCTTTAAAATTATGTGAGCAGGTTGGTTCTGGAGTCGATGTAATCTTGTTAACGTTTCAGTGGGAAGGTTTCCAAACAAAGATTTGCAGTAGTCTAGACGTGAAAGGACAAAAGAAGAGATGAGGGTTTTGATTAAATCCACACTAAGATATTATGTAGCCATTTGTCCTATTCTGCGTAGTTCTAGATAAATTACCCTACATAGATGGTTTATATGATGGTGCTTAAAGAGTTTGCAGTCAAACTAAACGTCCAGATTTTTCGCTTTATCTGTGAAAAAGATGTTATCATTCCCAATACATATTATTATATGGTCAAAATTGCAAAACAATATCCCTGGTTTGGCACTGCAAAACTGAACTTCGGTCTTATCATCATTCATTTTAAGTCTGTTTGACATCATCCATTTTTTTACCTCCACAATACTTTGTTCCATGCTGGTAACTAGACAATTGAAATTTGTTGATAAAACAGACTTGTACAGCTAGTGTCGTCTGCGTACATGTGGTAGTTAACGTCGTGCTTCCTAATTATTGAACCTAAGGGCTTTGTGTATAGTGTGTATAAGAGTGTTCCGAGCACGAACCCTTGGGGTACGCCAAATTGCAAGCTGAAAATGGATGACATTTCACCATTTACAAGTATAGACAGTGTACGATTAAACAAATAGGATTCAAACCATTCAAAAACAGTCCCCGATAGGCCGAAGCTATGGCCTAACCTCCTGGTCAAAATTGAATGATCGATGGTATCAAATGCAGCACTTAGAACGAGTAAGGCAAGAACAGACATTTTGCCTTCGTCTGCTTCACAAAGGAGGTCATTCTGGACTTTACAAGGTGCAGTCTCTGTGTTATGAAACGCTCTGTAGGCCGACTGATAACATTCTAAAAGATTATTTACTTCAAGATGTGCTCTTAATTGAGATTGAACAATTTTTTCTAAGATTTTAGGCAAAAATAGTAGGTTAGACACCGGCCTATAGTTCTAAAACTCATTAGGCGAAAGCGACTGTTTCTTTAGTAGAGGTGTTACGACTTCGCGCTTAAAACATGACGGCACTGTTCCTGAAAGGAGTGAATCATTGATAATAGCTGTTACACATCAATAACAACGTCAAGATGGTTGACTAATAAAGGTGTTGGGATAGGGTCAAGGCAGCAGGACTTCGGTGGTGATAAATTTATGATCTCTTTCACTGTGGCCTGTGAAACAGGTTTTAAATTACATAGGAGGTCCCCGTGGAACTCCTCGAATTCAGGTGCAGATGAACCGTGTTTATCTAGTGTGTCTCTTATAGTGGCAATTTTTTCCGCAAAGAATGTTCCAAAGTTATTTGCTAGCTATCCTGTGGGAGAAGCACAAGGAATAGAAGCAGATTTAGATTTTCCATAAAGTGTATGAACAAGGCGAAAGAGACTTTTATTTTTTACTTTGATATCACGTTATTGTAAAAGGAACGTTTTGCTTCGGTTATGAGTTCTTTGACTTTTCTGTGAAGTTGTCTGTATACGTCCCTGTGCACGATGAGTCCTTGTGCCCGCCTTATCTGTGACAACAATGTCGACAACATTGTTTTACATTGACAGCGCTCCGCTTTGCCTGCCTTTATCTCCAGCGTCATCCACGGTGTCGACGGTCGATCTGAAATAGTTCTGGATCTGAGTGGGGCGTGTTGGTCGAGAACACTCTTCGTCATGGAGTTATAACTGTCTGCCTTGCTTACTTATCGCGCTGCAAATCAGCGAAGAATTGGACATCGTTTAAATTCTTCAAGTCTCTACTCTTGACAGAGCGCTTTGTTGGGCCCGGCCTTTTAATATCCAATTCGCAAGTCACAGCAAAGTGATCCGATAAAACCTTATCTGTGACAACAATGTCGACGATAGATTTTACATTGTTTGTGGCGACCTAGTCGAGTATGTGACTCCTCTGATGAGTTGGATAGTTGACCACCTGTTTGAATCCCCTGGTGGTCAGTACATTTTTCATGTCATTTGCGAATTTATTTGATTGGGAGTCAAAGTGGATGTTAAAGTCGCAAGTAGTATTAGTTGGTGTTTCTTGGTAATGTGAGTGTCTAACAAGTCTTGGATATCGTTCAAAAATTCATGGGCACTACACTTGTTTTTCGACGTGTGAGGGGGGCGGTAAATACATAGAAATGTGATTCGATGAGTATTGACTAAAAGCTCAGATTTTGATCACTCAAAGCTGGAGTAATCCGTGAGGCAGTGGGACTTACATAACATCCCATTTCTAGCAATGACACTTATACCTCCACCTCGACCTGTCAGTCATGGAAAAGACGCTGCTGAAAATCCAATGGGCATTAGTTCTTTCAGAAGAACGCTGGGGGCTCTCGTGGCCTAGAGGTTAAGGTGTTGGCCTCTCATTCAAAAGGTCCCGGGTTCGAATCCAGGTATCGACCAAAAAATGTTCTTCTCTAAAATTGTCTCCTTTCACCTCCTTTCCTGCTCTCTAGCAATGTTCTGTTGTCTGCTACTCCTTGGCACCTCCTTACTGCTGTCTTTCTGCCACACCCCTGTTCTTCTGGTAGGAAAGATATACACCTAGCCTTCTCGGACAAGGGCGAAAAATCTCAGAGGGCCCGTGTGCAAGTTGCGCACGTTAAAGATCCCTTGGTGGTCTAAAATCGATAAGAGTAGGCTTCGGCCGCCAGCCGGGCAAAATTCAAAATTTCCTACCAACTGAAAATATTAGATGTGTCCCGCGCGCTCATATGACCTATGCAGTTGCGAGCGCCGTTAAACACTTTACAAAAACAAAAAACAAAAAAGAAGAACGCTGTCAACACTTGAAGTCAACCAGGTTTCCGTTAAGAATCAATGTTCATTTCCTACATTAGACCGTTGAGAAACACAGTTTTGTTACGAACTGACTGTGCATTAAGCAGAAGTACTTTAAATCTTTTGTAAAACATCCGTTCTTCTATAGAGGTGTTCACTGGGATCAAGTTGTAAAGAAAGTGTCACCGATCCACGAATCTTATGTTGGTCTTGCTAGGTGGAATTAGATACTATAGCATCCATTTGTCTTTGTTTTCTTGTACCTGCTCTATGACCTCTTTTGTATTTTTTTACACGTGTATTACATGGGCATGGTGACTTTCTTATTCCAAAACGT